CAGCTTGTCTGAGAGTCGTTAGTCACAGTCGATTCTTTGTTATTTTTCTGCTTCAAACAAGAGTATAAAGTGTTCTAAATTTAGTGAGCAAATGCCGTTGTCTAATGTGACTAGAATATTTATATCATTAATTGCTCTATCTGTAATCTTAGTTCATTACAGTTAACACAGGGAAGATGCCCCGGGATATGTACAATATGGTAGATGTATTGCACCAATTACTTAATAAACTAAGTAAGATTTTTGTTTCATGTATAGAAGCGGAAGTTACCCAGCCCGCTCTAGCACCGATTGAAAAGGCAGAGGAAAATATTAGTGATAACGATGACGACGATGAGGAGGATGAAGATGTCGATGGTGATGAGACGGAAGCTAACCTGGATACTGCTGGTTAATATTTTACATAGTTATTATTACTAGAGAGTGCTTTAATTGAGGACGAAGTTTAGAATTCTATGCACGATTTTGTTTTATTAAGTCTCTCAGGAATTCTGCATATGCTTAGTACTTTGACGCTGCGGCTGTAATTTGAATTTGTTCATGTCAATTGCAAATACATAAATTAACATATTCATTATTATGATGTGTTTAGTTGTTTACATACGTGCATGCCACATATTCTCATGATGGTGATGTATACTAAAAGTCTTTATTTCCCATCGACGTATCTTGGTATACGGCATTAAATATGTGCATGTTACGGCAAATGTGGGTTCAAATAAAGACCCTCAATGGTGTCGTTTACCGATCATCAACACGTGCATTCTTTAAATTTGTGTTGACATTTTCTTATGATGAGTATAAAGTATATTGGTGAACTGTTTCATTCCCTATGAATTTGTGTTTCCCTTTTTCATTTTTCTTGTATGTTTTTCTGTTAGGTCTGATAAAGTGATGAATGTGTAAGTCAGGAGTAAGTAAATTGTATCGTGTATATTGTATATTTTGCTACAATAAAAATGGTACACTATGGAGAGATGCCCAGACAGTTAGCATGTACATTTCATTGTCTAATGCATTTAACAACAAAATCCGATTAAGAATGAATAATTTAATATGATTTTCAACTAAATTGGGTAAATTTAACTTTGTCTCGAAGTTTGTTTCATCACTAATATTTGTTTGTATTTAATTCAGATCACACAGTGATGCTGCACATTATCCAATCATCGTAGCCATAGCAACTGTATGATTAGATGCACTCTGCCAACTTCTGAAGATGATGTCATTTTGAAGGACATGTCTCCAAAATTAAAATTTTACTTGTTATGTATATTCAGAATGATTGTGTACACTCAATATCAATATTCATATTTTAAAAAATAACATCGAGTTACGACTGGCGTTAAATTGCAACAGGAGGGGTGACTAGTTGAAATTATATTGTCGGATAGTTTATTATTTTTTATTTTCGTTCAATTAAGGTGGTGGTGTTTACTATTTTGTTCAGCTTTTGGAGGTTCGAATATAATTATATTATATCTCACTATGTTATAAAGAAACTATGGAATGTACAGAAACTTTAGTGAAACTGATTTAGTAAAGATTATATCATACTAAGCATGCATCGAGTGTTAAAGGCGGTGTCCAGCATGATAATATTATGAAGAAACAAACTATCCGTTCACTACTAAACTTTCGATCAGCACACAATCCTCCCATATGTCAATCAACTGACTTTTCATCAAAGAACACACAGTGTTGTAGATGTGCGGGAAAGGTGGTACGTTCATGTAACATCAGAAACAGTCACATAAAACAGCGAGTTACTCAAAAACAATGCGAAATGTGGAATGCTTTGTTGAAGTTTATGTTGAAGGGTTGGTGGACGGCGATTCTAAAAGTGCTAAGTCACTTATTATGGAGTTTGTAATCAGTTAAGTAGAAAAAGACCTGATACTCTGCGTCATTCTACATTTTGCTATTGCATTTGTTATTTGCAAAACAGCAATGTTTGGTCCAGTAAGTTATTATGGGGGTTGTTTGTAGCATGGATCTCAATGTGTGTGACTATCTAATTTGGCAGTGAATGACTTGGATTGATTGTTCAGGCGTATTTGCATGAGGGATATTCCCTTTAAAGTGATTTATGAGAAACCATTATTTTTGAGAAATTTGTAAAAGCCAAAATGTTGTTCTCACGTTGTAGTTGGCTTCATGTTAGGTTGAATTATCAGACATGCTTTGTGTATATTGAGTATTATCAATACCTGTGAATTTTATGACGTCATTACTGCAGATTATTTGCGATAATGCATCCCAAGGCCCCAAACCATGGACAATGTTGCTTTCGGAAACGAATAAATGTGAAATTTTTAGTTAACAAGTACTGAAATCGGCATCAAATAAAATGGCTCATTGCCGATAACAACAGTTATCAATATCCAAATCAGACAATTGTGTGAGGATATCCACAGGGGCTTGTCAACTGACGGCGAATGAAGTGTGAGAAGGGATGACACACAATTTACCTTTGAACAAATCTCACACAAACTGAATAAAATATATAGTCGACATATTTATATCAGGGGGGAAATTCTTCTCCTCTGGGGTTCTCCACACTTGCCAGGGGGGAATCTCGTCTCTGTCTCTATATCTCGTCCCCTTGAGGTATGCGACCGGGAAAGTCACTTTAACTTTACAGTCAAATAAGACACACACAACGAAATACGTTTCAACTCTCGTCTTAGTCGGTCAATCGAGCACTCTATAAGACACAGCGCCCTGGGGAAAAATCTCCAAGACTATCGCAAGGCTGAACCAAGGCTCTCTTAGACTGCGTCAACACTCGCCCCAAGGCTCTCCAGGACTGGACTCTCGACTGCGTCTCTCGTGGTGTACTCGTCAAGACCAACTCAAACTCTCTTTATTCATTTTCAAAACTCTAACCAATTACAAAACAGTAAAAAGACTCTAGGGCGTAACCTTCAATCATAAAGCCAATCACACTAAGTACTGAATACGTCATATCTTTTGATTAATCGTTCACTACACTAATAACTACGAATACCAACTGTCAGAATTAATAGTCAGAATAGCGACGGTTATCTCGTAATTAGTTCTAAATCACTAAGCCAAGTTCCGTCCAAAACTCCAAATAGGCCTAAACGATGCCAGACATAACACAGCAATTCGCTAATATTCAACTAAATAGGTCGATCAACAGATACGCGAAAACTAATTCATGACATTTAACTCACAACCACGATCAAATTACGCAAGTATTAAACATTGTTAGGGTCGGAACACGTTTGAAAGGTTTCCTCTGTACGTCACCAGCCATCACAGGCGTTGACTTGATGCTGATTGGCTGAAATAGTGGGTGTTTTCTAAAACCGCTTTCATGCTTGCCGTGGGTTGACCAGCCCCTGTGGTGTCGATGAACTGCTCTGTTCACTGTGGGCTTTTCGTCACATTTTCTATTTTTTAGTGGCAGGAAATCCACTGGTATTCACTCAAGCACGCTTTGTGCTCCATATATGTCGCGAAAGTGAGCTTTCGTCCATTATGAGGTGGCTGGTCGTTCATTATTGTTTGAATGACAGAACTAACAATAATCTGGCTTTATGTAAATGGTGTTGCGAGTTGTCATGCCAGCATAGATGAATCATAGGTTAACCAATAAAAATCGGCATTAATAATTTCGAAATAGGAAGCCAAGCATAAAATTGCCAATATTTAAGTAATGTGAAGGCACTATCTTCCATATATCTAACTATTTTGATAACCTTGGCAACTACTTCATTTGGAATGGATAAACGGTAATATGTAGTGATTTTTGCTAGTTCAAATTCGAATTAGGAACGGAATGTCGAACGAACGGAAGGACATACACAACGAGACATGTATCCAGACACAAAAATATAGGCACGGAGAATCGGAGACATCGAAAGACGAACAGACAGACAGTTGTTTACATGCAGTGGGTATTTTGCCTCCTAGAGTTCTTCCCCTGATTCACATTTAGATTTGACATTGAAACATTCCCCACTTCTGGTAAACTAAGACTTGGTTTATATGCTGTGAGTGTATCAGACAATCAAGAAATATATATTATAAACAAACTTCGCATTGTAAGCTACAACTACAGATTACCAGAAAAACTAACCAAAC